TATCCGAACATGTTTGCACATCTAAAACGAGCTCCTGTTTATCCGTTGAGTTTGGTGGTTTTCGCGAGGGAACCGAATACATAATGACCATCTGGCTCCCGCATCGCACACCCTAGCGTTCGCGCTATCTGGGCAGAAGAGAAAAGGCGCACGAAGCTTCATTAAAAGTTTTCGACACCGCAACGCAAGCAAGAATATAAGAATAGAAAAAGACGGTGTGCATCGTGATTTATGCAAAAACTTTGCTAGGCTACGTAGGCAAATAGAACGGCTATCACGACATCAAGAGCTTTACTCTCACTGATGATAGAAAGACAGCACTGATTTATTTGTCCTTAGCTGTGGCGAATGCAACAGAACATATTTTAAGCTGCTTAGAGCAATATGCGGCTTATTGGGACTGAATAGACAGTTTCATGATGACGGCTGTCGGCTGCTGCGTGTTCCACGGCTGCTTCCACCCATGTATCCCCGATAACGATAATCCAACAAAGAATGAACTGATTTCTTTACTAGACTAACGGAATGCTTAGTCCCTCTGCGGACGATAGGGACACCTTATCTTTGAACGAAAAATGAAGCACGGCAACTTTTAGCACTCTGTCGGGAAGAAATGTAGGTACTTAAATCAAATCATCGTAATTAACTGCGCCGATACTTCGAACGTTGTTTTGAGCATTTTAATCTAGGAAATTGCTGTTAGGTTAGAGGCTATAACTTCTTTCGAAAGAACATGCCTATTATAGAGCGCTGTTCTCTTTCTCAGACGTCTGCACCGACGAATACGACGGTCAGCGCCCGGTACCTCCCTGCAGGTCAGGTGACGTCGTCGGTCGTCGGCTCTGTCCGTATAGGTGTCGCCCCGGATACAGAGGGGCAGTCGCAGGTCACTTGCTCTGAGCAAGTGCTAGGCGACTGACAGCTCACAAATTACAATGTATCGGCAAGTTGATATATTTGACACAACAAGATACCAACGTCAACATACACAAATCTTAGAGATATTAAAGGGAATGGATCCTCCCACCTTTCAAAAAAGTTAATGAATTGGCATGAAAGTGATGTCGCTCGGTTCAGAAAGAGCGATAACGAATATCTACCAAATTTCCTCGAAAATATTCACCGGTTTTCAAGATATTAGACTTTTACTTTTGTTTACTTTTTGTGATCTCTGCTGTTCCTAGCGACTTTATTTGAAAGTGCGGCATTTGTTGCGCGCAAAGCAGCATATACCACCGCGTGCTACGAAACCTTTTAGTAAAAGATTTAAAAATCGTTAGATCTCCGCTAACGTCACAAATTCTAAGGGGGCATTCCAATGCATTAGCCCCTTAGAATCCGAAAACTACAAGTTTGAAATTCCATATCTCCGAATAAAGCATTTTTCGATGTTGTGATAGCCCAAACCGGTATTTTCAGGCCATGACCACCAATTTGGCTATCTCAACTCAAAACTAATGTTAAGGTGGGATGGTCACATGCATGGGTGAATCAAATGACAACTGACAATCAAACCCTTGAACAAGAAACAGGGGCAAGTACTAACTGGGCATCTCTCGGGGTCAAATCTCCCATTTCAAAAGCGTTGAGAAAACCTATGTTTCCGCAGTCGACATTCCAGAAAGGTATAAAATACCCTCCCCTTTTCAGCCACTTCTCGCACTGGATAAAAACAAACACCCTTGATTTATTTCGTACACAAAAAGCACTGATTTGGCTCTCGAGCCGGACGTTTCTCATCTCTCGGTCCTCCCTTTCCCCGCTCAAAAGCTTATTCGGTCTCTCTTGCTCCCGATTTGTCGCATGCACCGGCACGTTGCAGATAAAATCAAACATACAAACAGAACTGGTAGAGGACATCGAAAACCTTAACCCTATTAGTGGCAGGCTCCTGGCTACCCCATATTAGTGGCAGAGGGGGGGGGGCTGTTTACGACCCCCCCTTGATATCTCGAGATCTAACCAGCCGATTTTCAAAATTCAAACGGCATTCGATTTGGCTCAACGAGATCTACATTTCTAAAAAAAAATTAAAAAATGTCAATAGGGGGGTAGAGGGGGGTAAAAACGGGCAAATTGCAGATACATTTTAGACTGTTTATCACGGCCAGGTTTCTGAACCAATCTTAACGCAACTTTTGCCGATCGATAGAGAATGAACCAGGAATTCACATGGATCCTAAAAATATGCATTTTCAAAAATCATAGGCGGATACAGATCATTGAGATTGGGGGTACACAAAAAGTATAGTAAATAAGGTTTTGTTGGTACTGTTTCTAAAAAGGGTGGCAATGGTCTTGTTATGTTACAATTTTCTTATGAGAGAACGACTAAAATTGTATCGGTCATGCATAGGCGATGTCAGGGCACCTATGTTGGGAGGTAAAAAATAACCCCCCTTTTTGGACGCCTGGATCCGCCTATTATAGCAAAAACGTGTCAAAAGAGGATGCACAATAACTTTGTATATGTTATCACATGATACCTTTCATTCACTGTTCGTAAAACTGGTGCAGCATCGTGATCTTCGCCCAAATGACTCGCTTCACGAATAGGACCCCCAATTGCCAGTGCTCTGGAGCCGCCCCTGGTAAAGTTATGAACTTGAAATTTTCAGGGAATGTGCCCAATTTAGTTTTAGGAAAAGTCAGAAAATTTCAGCATCGTAGCTTCAGCGGTTTCGGAGATATTCCCGAAAAACCTGAGGGGTGGATAAAAACAACCCCCCCCCCCTGCCACTAATAGGGTTAACAGCCAGCAGAAAGGAAGTACTAAAATAATAGCCCGACACTCGAGGCTATAAAAGTTGAAACTAAGCATTGCTTTCGCTAAAGTTGTGTCACGCTGACGCCGTTCCTTCCTACGATTAACTCTTGGCATTGACTAATGCTAATGCAATTAGCTACAAGGCGTTTGCAGCTATACCGACGTTGGTATTACGGGAGAGGGAGACTGAGAGCCGATACATTGCCGGTCGGTGGGTCTGGGCAGTGGCAGCCGTCCTCCGTGGCCTGGAACTGGGCGATGATGACGATGTAGGTGATGATGGTGGACGTGACGGCCAGCAGGGTGGCGCGCCGCACCTGGAAGAATCCCAGGTCGCCGATGGTGTCCAGATATCTGAGCGCCGCGGCGCGCTGCAGTCCGGCCTGCTGCGCCAGCCGCGGACGGCGCCACTCCAGCTCCAGCAGCAGGTCGCAGCGGCGGCCGGCCAGCGCCAGCAGGCGCTGACAGGCCTCGCACGGCCCCAGCAGCGAGACCACGGCGCTCAGCAGGAACAGTGCCGTGTCGACCACGAACGCCGAGCTGCCGCCGGCGCTGAGGGCGTTGATGAGGCTCATCAGCAGCGCTACCTCGGTGAGGACGCCGTACAGCATGGACAGCAGCAGCACCGCGGCCATCGCGTCTGTCAGCTGGAGGAAACTGGAGACGTAGCGCTTCTGAAACTCGCCGTTGCGTCTCAGTCGTTCCTCGGCGTCCTCAGGCTCGTAGATAACCAGCTCCTCCAATTCTTCATTCGCCAGCTCCAGACCTCTGGCCAGCACAAATGCGATGAATAAAAACTTCATCGGGATCAGCAGAAAAGCCTGTATGAGACAGCCAAAGCCTGCACCTGTCACGATGTGGTGAACACATGTGGTGCTGAACTCATTGCAGACACTGACCTTGCCATCAGCGTAGATCGCCACGCCGACGTTCCCAATCGAGATAAGACCCACCAGCGCCCAGATGGTAAGCATCTCCAGGTGCTGCCTGGCGGTGCAGCCGGCGCCACGCACCAACTCGCCCGCACGGTGCAGAACCGTCATCAGTTCCGAGAAGGACTCCTCCGCGCAGCGGCGCCTTCCAGTGACGTACGCAATGACCAGCGTCAGCCAGACTTCGGCCAGGATCGCCCCGAAGAACCCTGACGAGGCGGCCGCCCTGGACCAGCTCCCCGTGGAGCCGACCATCTCCTGGCCGATGTCGAACTGGCTCCGCACGGACACAACCGCCACCCAGGTGAGAAGGCCGCAGAGGAGGCCGGCGTACAGGGCGGCGCCCCAGCCCGGCCGGCCGGCCAGCCCCGCCAGTCGCAGGAGCACCACGAAGGCCCGGCTCCCGATCGGGAGAAGCTCCTCCTGCTGCTGCTGGCGCTCCGGGGTCTCGGGGGTCTCGGAGTCCACCGAGCGACAGAGCAGCCGTCGACACCGCATGGCACTGACACGGGAAATACTGGGCCGAGTGTATCGGTTGGGGCAGGTCTGAGGGTATAGGTTACAGCCCGAGGCTAGTCTTAGGGCAGCGACCTGAAGAGAGTAGATAGGGTCTTGGACTGGGCGGACGACGAACGGGTTAACTCAGGCTGGACTTAGATGGACAGACGCCCTGAGGCGGGCTGGACAGGGTCGTAGGCCAGCAAAACGGACACTGAACCTGTGTGTGGTCGCTCGTGACCTGGTGGTTCCTCTAAGCTAGCCACCCACCTTCGCAGGCCGTATTGATTCATCACCACCACATAGACTCCCCAGTGCATGAGTAGGTCGGTGGGGTGACATTCTGTTTGACGCCTTTGTGGACGCGCCATTACGGTAGATTCATGTTGCTTTACTCGATAGCATTTTCTATTTACACTGTTGAGGCTCATAGCTCGGCAAATATTTGAACTCCACCAGATCGATGGCGTAAGGGAATTAGAAAATATTGGTATCAGCCTGTTGTTACCCTGCATCTTGCTAGACACTCGGTGTTGCCTCTGGTCGTTACCTGTCGAAATGACCGTTTAATGACCGTTTCTGGTGCGAGTGTATGCATGGTATGCGAATGTTTGTAGTCATTTCCGTGTGCCTGTTCCAACTTCCCATTGTATTACCATTCAGACGCGAGTAAGTGAAAAGCCATGTAATCGTGGATCTTATTCAAATAAATCTGTTCTGTTCTGTTCTGTTCTTAAAGATGCGACTCTAAATTGTAACAAATTGTTAAGACCTGAAAGGTACAGAATGCAGTAAAGCAAAAATATGTTTGCGTCTGTATTCAGGCAGTTTGATTTACAATCACCATGACGTCGGGTACCTGGCCAACATGCTTTTAACAGACACTGGGCGGGCTTTCTTAGTCATTGGACAGTGGACAATGGACTTAACTTTCTTAGTCATCAAAACACATTACAGCGAGTATTGCCGGACCAGAGTTCCCATAGATCCGAATGAGCCTTACGGCCAAATCAGTCGTCTTTATCCTTGTTGTCCTGCCCGACATTCACCCCACCACTGTTGTGCGTCCAAATCCAGCCGCAGCAGCAGCGGATCATCCACCTCACCACGACCACCAGCAGCTTCAGCGCCAGCAGCAGCACGGCCAGCAGAAAGGCCAGCACGTCCAGCGAGTAGTACTGGAAGAAGCTGAGCTCGGCGCCGACGGAGCGGAGGTGCGGCGCACCGCCGTGCCGGATGACGTGCTCCACCCAGTGGACTGCCAGCTGCAGCGGCGGCACCGGCTGCTCCCTCAGCAGCCGCTGCCGGTGGAGGACAGCCGCCCGGGGGCCACCGGAGAGCGCCGTAGCCACGGCGGCGCCCAGCGTCTCGGTCGAGAGGGCGTCCCAGGTCAGCACCTCAGCGATACCGAGGCGGGCCGCGCGCGCGGCGTTACACTGCTGGTCGCTGGAGACGGGCAGCACGACCATCGGTACGCCGTGGCACACCGACTCTACGACACTGGCGAAGCCGCCGTGCGAAATGAACAGCCGACACTTGCTGCTGCCGAGAATGTCCTGCTGCGGCAGCCACTTGGAGGGGAGTATGTTGACAGGCAGGCCAGTGCGGTTCGTGGTGTCCCACTTGAGAAGAACCTTGTAAGGCAGAGACCCGAGCGCGGCGAGGATAGCCGCCTTCTGCTCCGGAGACATGTCCTGAGGCCTGACCACAGAGCCGAGACTGAACAGCACGAACTCGGAGTCTCCGAGAAAGGCGGCGACCTCGGCAGGCAGCTCGTTCGGAGCGGTGCAGTGCAGACCTCCCACCTCAATCACGTTCGGCAGCAGGGGCTTGTGGTAGTCCATCACAGGATTGCTGTTCAGCAAGACGAGACTAGCGTTTCTCTCGATGTCCAACGCCCTGGGCATCACGCCGTCACCGAACTCCTCAGCAACCAGGCGGTCGCTGTAGGTGGCGTACACGGTTCTTATCAGCGTGTCCATCCAGACGGTGCCGATGACATTCTTCACCCGCTGTGTGAAACTCATCCTATCAGTGCCCGCTGTGAAGGGGATCGAAGGGTTCAGGGCCGGCAGGGTGGGGCTCCCCAGCGGACTGGTCAAAAACGGTACGTAAGAGACCGGACTCAGCAGTATGAACGGAGCGTTCAACGCATGCGGGACGAAGTAGAACGGATATCCGAAGATGCCCAGGATGACGACGTCGAACCGCTGCCGCAGCAGGTGGTGCAGCTCCGAGCTGTTGAGGGCTGCTCGCGGGCCGTCGGCCAGCAGCGCCCGGTACTGCCTCCAGCCGGCCTGGACGCCCTCGGAGTTGATCCGGAACATGTTCGGGAAGTTCTCCTCGGCGAACTGCTGTGCCAGCCGCTCGGGAACCACCTCCTCCACACCGGGCACCGGCACCGACGGGCGGAACGCGCTGAAGAACACCACCCGGTGACCGCGGCCGGTCAGCGCCGCGCCCAGCGCCAGGAACGGCGCCTTCTGCGAGCGGGCGCTGGTCGGCAGCAGCATCAGCACGCGCGCGCCGTCGGCGACCAGCGCGCAGCACCACCAGCACAGCAGAGCGGCCGCCGCCGCGCGCCCCATGGACAGCGTCTGGAAAACGATACAAGTACAAACAGTCCGACCGGTGAGTCATGGTATGATAGTGGTAGTGCTTGGTCGGTGACGGAACCGGTTGTTGAGGTGTCGTAGGCTTGCATATGTCTGTCGGTGTAGTCTCATTCTTTCTTTCTTTTTTGCAATTAGGTACCTACCTACCTAATTATTTATTAACAGAAAGGTTCGTACACGGAATGTATTTTTACTTTAATTAGCTATATTTTACTTCACTTATTGATTAACACTTTAAAAAGGTGGGTTTGACTTATACGGACATTGGATAATGAATTAAAAGGCGTATTGTCAAAATGCCAAGTACCTATATACATACATACCTAATATCATATACCTGCCAACTATTTGTTCGGCTGGCGCCTACCTAACCCAAGATACCATAAGCACATGTATGTATTACCCAGAAATAATTGATAGGTACAGACTACTGACTAGGTAGGTAGGTACAGACGTTACCATATATGACACGTCTTATAATCTATACATTTATCGTTATTACCTATTAGCCGTTTTCACGAGCGGCTATCTGGCAAATGCACCTAATTTGACCAAATCTGCACCAATTTTTTAATAAATATCTTCATATCATGAATTACCTAATTTCAGTGTTTTAATCGAAAATAGTTTAAGATAGTTTGAAAAATGAGGCATAGGTATACCTAAGCATCTGTCCAGCCTAAACTGATATCTTTTAACCCTCGCCCGTAAACGGCGATCTGCCACCTTCGCCCATGCAGGGGGGGGGGGTTGGTGCGACCCCCCCCTTGGCGTTTGAAAACGGAGCGTCGTAGAGCTTAGCGGAAAAGACCAACGGATTGCTCTCGCCGAGATCTCGCGATTGGTGGTATATTTTTTGGTCCTAGGTCAACATTTGACCTACTTTTGACCGGTCAAAGGTCAAATTTTCGGAAAAATAGATTTTTTTCAACTTTCGGCGGCGATTGCGGCAAAACGGTGGGAGATATCGACTTGAAACCTTCACTATCGTGTTCCTTGATCAATTCTCTATCGTTTGGTATGTATTTCGTTTCCCTAGCTCTAAAAATGGCGCGTTGGGAGCGCCGGAAGTCGGCAAGGTCACAGTCGGCGGCAGAAATTCGAAAAATCAAAATTTAAATTTTTGAAATCTGATTGTATTTTTGGATTTGGGAGGTCCATTTGCTCCCTATAGAAGCTAATATTGCTGCATATTCCCATTGAGGTGACAAGAATTAGCAAAATAGTGGTTCGGGCGCTTTTCAAAAATAGTACCGGACGCTGTTCCTCTTGTGACGTCATAGCTCCGTGACCTGACCTGACCCGGTCAAGTTTCTTATACCATATGATAGCCAATACTTGCCCCAACATGCATGGGAAGTTTCATCACGATCCATCAACCGATCTCCGTACCACCGGCAGGAAACCTCGGGCGTTGGCACTCAGTTTGTGAAAATCCGGCCGGAGGCTGTTCCCTTTGTGACGTCATAACTCCGTGACCTGACATGACCCGGTCAAAATTTTTTTTATCAAAAGATGCGCAAGGTTTGCCCCATAAGGTACCCAAAATTTGGCGGCGCTGCGCGCCGCCGTTTTTGCACTATTTCCGAAAAACCTCAGGGGGGGGGGGGTTGCACCAACCCCCCCCCTACATGGGCGAGGGTTAAGTTTTATGTAACACACTGAACCTATAACTTCACCAACTCTGTTTTAAATCTGCACCTAATCTGCGCCAAAGCTATACCAGAAGGCCGTCGTGAAAACGGCTAATGCTATACCGCTATCCGACTTGTAATTAAATGATTGGCTTACCATGGTAGGGTACGTCCGTCGCCGATGTTTCACAATGCTAGCTCAGCGCCAACTGCTCGGGTTGCATGTGCTCTTGAGAGACAACTTATCATCGGTTGCACGGAAGAGATGTTTGAGTGTCGAACAGTGCACGATAAGATTAGCGCAAGCTCAACCGATCCGAATTCACTGATAAGTAAGTATCTGATGGGCCTATATGTTATGGATTTGGTCCGAAAGGTAACCTCTAAAGGTCAACTTGACAATTTCGCCTGTGACAGGCACAGCCATTCTATAGGTAGCTCAGGAACTACCGCTGGCGGACCTCATAGAAAGGCGGTCTTCGACGCTGCGGGGGGGGGGGGGGCATGCCCCAAAAAGTCTCTCGGAGCTCATTGAATTTCGATTCCTTACGCACGCTGTGTGGTTTAAAACACTTTCCCCTAATAAAAAGAGTTTAGTTTTCGTTTCATTCTCGAAAACCACAAATTTTCGTCGACTTCGGGCGCTGCATGGGGAGGGGACATTTGCTCAAGGAAATCGCATACGGTAAATGGACTGGTGGTGTTGTCGTTTCGATTGGCCCAGTTATACATATTTCTTGAGTTGTAAAATTGCTGCAGTGGGCCGTTTGGAGGTCACCGAGGTCATCTGAGGTCACCACCTTCGCAACAACTGATAAAATTGCAGGTCACCATATTACCAACCGGCTAATGAAATCGCGTGCAATGAATCGACTGATGTGATTTTGTCTCGATCGGCCCAGTAGGTACCTACTTCCTGAAAGTTATGAAAAGGCTGCAAGCAAATGGGTGAAATCATCAAGTTGACCTTTGGATGTCACCAAGTTCACTTGAGTTCATCATTTTTTAAACGGTTACCTAATAGAATCGCATATCCTCATTAGTGATTCGAATGGTGTTTAGTTTGTCCCGATCATTCCAGTGGTTCCTGAGTTAGGTATAGAATGACTGAGCCAAGATATAGGTACCTAGTGTTGAGTGCTCTCGCGAGGAACATATTGTTATATAACTCAATTTGAATGACCTTTGTCTGATAATGCCCTGTCGGCGAAAATTTACCTAAATACATCATTTTCGACATTTAAACTTTCTATATTCGAGGAAAAGGTCATTCATTTTGAGTTATAATGACTGAGCCAAGGCCATATATAGGGACTGAGCCTCTTGGTGAGGGACTGAGGGTGACGGTCGAATAGTGTTGTTCGGAAAGAAAAAAAAAACTATTTATAGTCACCGTGGAAAAAACCGCCAATGCCGCAACGCAGGTTAGATTTCGAAGTAAGCATTTAGTCTCACCCGTGGAAAAAACAATTATCACGTGACTGAAGGCCTACCATAACTGAGGAGTATTCGATTTTTAGGAGCGTTCTGCTGATTTCTGCTTACCAAGACGTTGTTTTTCATGACGTCATAAGCCTTCAAAGTCACTAATGAAAATCGAGGAAACTGGGTGATGACGTCACCTAGGTGCCTACTTTACCAAATCTTATTGGCGAAGCTTTTTGTGAGCCGTAACCTGTAAGCAGCACCAAGCTGCTGAACAGTTTCTGGTAGATGAAGCTCTTCTTTGCGCAGATGCGTCATTTGTTGTCAGTTGTCGCAGCTGTCGGGCTGGGGCTAGCATGTTTTTTAATCCCACCCAGAAATGACAAACAAGCTCCCTGATTGGCCAGTTGCCGGCCAGTTGGACTTGAGCGGTCGCCATGGTGGTATCGGGGACTCGGCTGGCATCGTTAGGTGTTGAATTATGTGTTTCGTTGTGCTAGATATTGCCAATTTGCTTTGATATTTGATAAATAACGTTGGCTCATTCTTTGGTGACCTTGCATACTAATATGACGATATTTTGATACCGATTGCCCAGAATCACTTCACAATAGGTATGTTGATGCATGTACATTGTACATTAACATCAATGTCTGAATGCTGAAGAATTGTTGAACAGGGAACACATTTACCTAGCTTCTAAAGACCACAAATCCTACATTACTTACACCAGTAAAACGCCTTTTGGGCGACCAACGGAGCGAGCGAGAGGATGGGCCTTGCACGTGCGAAATTGCGAGGGGATACCTCCAACTAACTTGTGCACTGCACCCTACTAACCGGTCTTTAGCGATGTGCCAAATTTCAGCGCAATCGGCCTAGCCGTTCTCGAGATCTGGAAGCGGCACACTGCACGTGCGCACGTGCAAGCGGGTCCAAACTGACTTTTGCATGGCACCCTACTAATTGGTCCCCAACCGTGTACCAAATTTGAGCGCAATCGGCCCAGCCGTTCTCGAGATCTGGGAGCGCCCCCTGCACGTGCGCACGTGCTGTAGCACCCCAACCTTAACACATGCAGATGAATTATCTGATGGAGACCTAACTGTGTACCGAGTTTCAATTCAATCGGCCCAACCGTTGTGCCGTTATTGAGCTTGCAATTTTGGGGGTTCTTAAAAAATGTCCAACTTTACCACGCGCCACGTGCGGTGGTTGGCAAGAACGCATGTTGGCCATCACACCACAGAACTTTTACGTCCAAGTGACATTCAGTAAAGAAGACCGCTTGTCAATCGGATGTCCCGTTCCTAAGATATTAGCTTTTGAAGAGCGTCCCCACGGCCGGCCGGTCGGCCGGCCGGCCGGCCGGCCGCTCATACTCAGGATTTTCCCTTAATTCAGTATGAGACTCCGCTCGCTTCGCTCGCTCCGTAATAAATATTTTTCTACAGAACTTATATTATCTACTTTCATCTGGCTAAGACTTTTTTTACATTATATTCCCTCTGTTAAACATGAAAATATGATGAGTTATAGACTAGTATAACAAGCTGGTAATTATATCTGCCTTGTCAGCTTGGCCAACATCTGCATCATGTCTATCACAAAATATGACTGCTTTCCTGACATTTGCATTTGTTCCACTCACCAATTGACCACTTCTACCATCTGCTTGCTCTATGCACAGACATTGTCATAGGGTCTGTTCCAGTCGCACTTCCTAACACCTCTTAACTCCTCCAAGATTGCTTCCCTGTTCCAGTGGCAGCTTTCGCCCCTACAAAGCCAAGAAGGGCCCTGCTCCAACCTCCTCTAACTTGCTCTTTGAGGAGTTTAGATGTGTTAGGAAGTGCGACTGGAACAGACCCATAGCAAAACAGTTTCATCTCCCTGAGTCTGTACTGTCTTTTTCCAGGTTTCCAAAGGATCATCATTCATCAGCACAGAAGGGTGGGAAAGAGAAGGCTGTTCAAATTCTGAAAAGCCAGAGCTGCAAAGGAGGTCAAAGATGCAGTGCAGTTGGCCCACTCAGTAGAGTTTCACTAGTGGTTCTGATGTGGACTGAAGATTACACGCTGGATTGAAGTGGCCGGTCTGGAGCAGCTGTAGTTCATCATTCTTGCTGATTGTGGACGAGTAAGAGCCCGTGTTGGCCCCGATCGGCGATCGCTGGCCAAAGCCCACCACCAGTTTGGTTATAGGCGTTGGCTGTGATATCTAGTGTCGCCTATGTGTGAAAAGGACAAGTTGATAACAAAACCTGTTGCGCCATGTTATTAACCCGCGCCCGGGTGGCCCTCAGCCAACTTGGGGGGGGGGGGGGAGGTGTATTCGGCCACACCAGGTTATCTTGGAATGTAGCAAAGCTGGAAAGACGCAGTAAAATCAATCTATAGACCGCTATTTTTCTTCAGAATCATACAGGTCATTTTTGATCAGATCATCGCTGAGGTCACTGGAGGTCACCAAAAGTAAAATGATGACGAATTTTGGCCCCCGATTTTGACAACTTCACAAATTGGTTCATAATTCGAGAACCAAAGAAGCTACAGCGCCGCGGAAAAGCGAATTCGATAGCTCTTTCGAAAATCTTTCAGGTTCTCAGATTTGAGCTAAGGTCAACTAGGGTTAAGCCTCCAAAGGGCAAAAACTGAACAATCGGCTTGCTTCGGAAGTCGTCTTTTCTTTAAAAAATTTTAAACTGATACCAAACTTTTATTACGTTGATTTTACCGGCACTGCGTTTCTCTCGTCTTCTTGGTCTAACAAGGTCAGCTTAATAAATTTGACCTCAGGTCAATGTCGCAGAAAATGCCATTTTGCATGTCATTGATTCGTTACATTGAAATTGAGATTAACATCAGTAGCGGCGGAACACCTTCAATTAAGGGGGCATTGCCGACTTTTGGTCTCATTCTTTCCATGCAACGGCCATAGGGCTAATGTTAAAATGCCAAAATCAAAGGGGGCACGGTGCCTCGGTGCCCTCGGCCTGTTCCGCCGCCTATGATTATGATGCTTTTGGCGCTCTGGCCACGTTCCATCTAAAATCGATGTACAAAAATAAACTGTTGGGAGGCGTTACATGACCTGAGATGACCTCAGGAGCATACGATAGATCCCGAGGTTTGAGTGCTTTTGTTTCAAAAGCAGAACATTTCGATTTCGAGTTCCTCATACTGACTGAAACTGGAGACGTCGCAAAGTTGACCTGACCCTAGGTCACCACCGATATCAAAATTAAAGATATTCAAGATGTTGGTACTGATTCTCTCATGCAATAGCTCGAGTTTCAAACTTCTACTTCATGGTGACCTGACCTGACCTTAGGTGACATGGGGTTACTTTTTCACAATTGATGCGAATCGATGCATTATACATAAGCTATACTAAGTTTCGTGTCGTTTTATCTATGCAAGCACAAAATTGTCTGGTGTGGCCAAAAACGCCCCCACGGCCCACCCACCTGGGGAACGTTAAAGCAGTGATGTATTTTTTTCGGTGTATTCCACGATGCATCGATCGGTGTACTTGATAATGCATTATTTATTGCTGCGTGTGTACGCTTTTCCTCTGTTCAGTGTGATCTGTGATAGGAAAACTACCGATATATCTCCACGCGCATGACTGAAAGAGCTGGCGTGATCTATAATATTGGGTGTCTGTTTTTGTTTGGCATTTTATAAATAATGAGTCAGCTGTGATCGTTTGATGAGACACTGGGACAGCCGGCCTGTATGATCAGCGAACGGCAGGCGGCGGGGCAGTGGTCCGGTGGCTGCTGCATGGGACTGACACCAGCAGATTCAGAGCTGCGATACGCGGACGTTATGTTCACAATACCTTTGCAAAGTAATATCTGATAGATATCATGTCCTCGAAAATGTTCTTCAATCAATATGATTTTACCTCCTGGCTTATTCCATGGGGGCCGAAACCGATCGTTTTATGCACGCCTTTTCTGGGCCTCGTTCTCCTCTAAATGCGTGTAGGTAGCAATTTTATTCAAGGGACGATTGAAAGTGCCTCCGATTGGTATTCAGCGTAGGTGGGATATGGCCGTTGAATGTGAGGCAGTCGATAAGGAACGTCGAGCTGGAACGGTCATTGGGTAGGTACTAGGTAAGGTATGTGAAAGGCAGCAGTGGAAAACAAGGAAGGGAGGCGTTTGGTGTGAGGTTTCAAATGCTCTATGCATAAGAAAAGTTCATTTGATCATATGACACCGTCCTTTTTATCGCGATACGTGAGCAACGCATGAGACGCTCACTGTTCAGACTTGTAGCGTTAGAGACAGGCTGAGAAGGGCTATTTCCGCGAAAGGATATTCTGGAATTTGAATTGAAAGGCATTTAGTTTTGAAAGAATCAGTACTTCTTAACACGATACTGACTCATTTAAAATTTCAATTTTTCCCCATTGCGATAGCATAAGAAACAGAGACTGCGGTGTCCCCGTACGCAGGATTCTGGAGACTGTCAGGCGGATGTTAGTAGCTAAAAGCTTTTGTTCTCTATTTAACAGATAACAATCATTTCTTTTAATACTTTGTAACACCTAACTCACTAGAAACAATCTCTACGGGCTTCCAAAAGTGTTATATTTAACATGTTAGATCAATTACAATATTTTAGCTGCCCTAACCTGTAAATGTAACGGATGCGTCATTATTGAAAACGTGCTAAAGCATAGTATTCTATTGCTGACAAATATTCTGCGTCTGTCAGCCAAAACTGTCCAATCAGAGGCTTTGTTTGTCATTTCTGGGTGGGATTAATAAACATGCCTGGGGCTAGGGCTGGGCCCGGCGCACTTGTATTTTTCATTTTCTTGTATTTGTTGTAAGACAGTTTCTCTCGGGTGATTATGGGCGAGGTGGCAGATTGATTTGGTCTTTGTTGGGCTCTTTTTGATAGTTCATTTTAAAACGTACTCTGCAGAATTATGGCGTAAAAGACATGTAAAACTTTCTGAAACTTGAAAGTTGCAATGGAATACCTTACAACAAAAGGTGAGTTGTCTCATCCCTGCTTCACATTTTCCATTAGAGAAAACTATGATCAACATCAACATGGGGTTCATCAAAAGGCTACGCAGTGATTGCATATAGCAAAGCTCACTAGCTTTTTGCTAATGCTGTAAAATTTGTAAATCATTAGGTACAAAGTGGACTTAATTGTTAGCATTTAACGACTATACAATAAAAGCCAATCAATATTTGCTGAAAATCTTTAAAAAGTAGCACAACCCATGTCCAGCATTCTTACTGCACAGGGCCCTGTTTCACCGGTGATAGCAGCACGCTGCTATCACTCGTGTCAAATTGGGTTTCCATGGAGACATCAACAAACCATGGCGTCGTCAAACTGTGATGTCATCAAATATTGCTGCTAACATCTTCACGGCCGTGCGAACAAATCAAACGCATTCAACGACACTGCAACTCTGTTCCAAACGTAGCTATGAAAAAGCTCACGGATTACACGAAATGTCATTACTGTGGCGTCACCACATTATGTCAGCTCGCGCAATTTGATAGTAGCGTACTGCTATCACAATCACCGGTGAAACAGGGCCCTGTTTTCATAAATATCTCTGCTTCAAACGTCTACTGGCTGGCCTACTGTTTTGTTAACCATCATCAGCTATATCAAGCTAGATATTTATTGTTGATGCTATGTGATGTCATAGGTACTTCTCTTATAAATGCAGTACATGATAAAAACTGTAGGCATAATATAAAGTATATAATTTACATTTTTCTTTGCTTAGGAGAACATGATCTACCTTCAAGTTATTTGAATTAGGGAATCTGGTGCTAAAAATAATTGGAATAATTTTAAGCCTGCATGAAAAGCATCATGTGCTACTGCATCATTTACACTGATTACTGAGGTACAATATAATTTGGTATAGAGCACAATGACTAACTATCTGCTGAACATTTAGAACTATTCAGCAGAATTATGGGTAGGCCTATGCCTAAAACTCTTCAGTTCTGAAGTAATCCATGGTTTAGCTGAAGTATGGGGAGGCATGTGACTGTAGGTATCCAGCAGCTATTTTTTTTTTCTTGGAAGAACTTCCCAAAAAACCTATTGGCTCCTCCCCACCCACTATGCATTGAACTGAACTCTTTGCTTGTACCAGGCATCAGGAATATCACGATCAGAGAAACAAAAAGATATTAGAACCAACCAATGTCAGAATTTACTCCATTGCTGAATGCCTAGCCACTCAAGCATGCATTTCTATGATTGGGTTCTGATGATCTTGCACAATGCACACACACCACATCTTGGTAAAAATTTGAAGGAAACTTTTATTTTAGATAAATGAAAACTGGTGGCATTTGGCTTTGTGCTCAAGGTTTTTTGCATGTTGTGTAGATTGTAGGTAGTAGGTACCTACCTAGTACCTACCTACCTATCTTGCAAGTTACCTACCTATGTTTTTTTTTCAGAATGGAAGACTCAGATGACAGTGCAGTGAAACATGGTAAGAGCTGACTACATGTGTAAACCTTCTTAAATGAACCTTTTTTATATAAGCGCTTTTCTCATGTTATTATACAAATGCATTCCTGTCTTTCTCAGAGTATCATTATCAATGCATGTCATATTTGCTGCCAAGGTCTGAGTAGTATTGATGTGTTATTGGCGTCCCCACCCCTGCCCCGCCTCCCGGCCCGCTCGCGGTTCGCGGCGCGTCTCACAGGCTCCCGGTTTGTGTGCGTGTGTGTGTGTGTCCACAGCCGCGGGGCTCCCGCTCCGCCGCCGATCGGACTCCCGAAAAACGACCCGAGGCCGTCAAAGTAGTGGTCCGCTGTCGGCCGCTCAACAAAACCGAGATCGCCAATGGATACGACAAGTACGTGGTGGGGTGAGAGAGTGGGAAAGGATGAGAAGGAAGGGGGAGTGAGGAGGGTGTGAAAGAAGGGGGAGTGAGGAGGGTGAGAAAGAAGGGGGAGTGAGGAGGGTGAGAAAGAAGGGGGAGTGAGGAGGGTGTGAAAGAAGGGGGAGTGAGGAGGTGAATAGGATGAAAAGAGTCGGCAGTGCGGTTGTTGCCGACCCGCCAGGCCTGGCAGCCGTGAATTGTTATTGGATCGGTGGCGTGTTGCCGTGTGAGTGGGCCCGGGTGACGGCGCCAGTCGCTCGATTTGCCGGCTCACACCGAGGGGTTCGTGACGCACGGACTCTGAGTCAGCTGGGGTAGGCTCTCTGGGCCCGTGGGGAACGGACCGCGCCCTCCGGAGGGGGGGGGGAGGGGCACCGAGACAGCTCATGGAGCGCCAGCTGACCTTGTCTGTGCCGTTAGGAGCGGTCAGCAAGATAGGTAAAAGTCACCCAAACACTGGAAATCAATTGTGTGTGCATCATACCGCCTACACACACGTATGTGTCTACTGTCTACCTACCGCCCTCATGTTTGCCTATAAGCCTCCAGGCGCCGGTTTTCGCCAGCCCGCTTTTCCGTCCATAGATCTATGCCGGTGGGGATCTTTCCGGCCGGCTCGCTCGCCCACCGGTGTTTTCCATTGTAGCTGCGTGTGGTGAGTGGTCAATACAAGACGTCCTGGCAACGACTCGCGTCCGAGAAACGCGGGTCGGGCTTTGGATTGTGACCGGTGTTTTGATTATAGTCCTTGTGACCTTTCAGGATTGTTGATATCGACACCAAACGCGGCCAGATTCGACTCCGAAACCCCAAGGCTGAAAATGACCCGCCCCGAGAGTTCACCTTTGACGCCGTCTATGACGAAAAGTAAGTCGGATATGTCATACTTCTCCTGCGCTCGATAATTACTTGCTCGTCAGCTTAGCTGCAATTTGCGTTGTTTTCGTAACGCCGAGCAGCTGTTTATCATCAGCCCGATGAGACTGTCTTCCTCGAATGTACCGTTAGCCGTTAGATGCCACCCTGGCATTGATCCTTTCTTTGATGCCACCCATGCGCTCGGGAGTCAGGATCCCGACCCGTTAGCCGTTTTATGCCTTCCTGCCATTGATTCTGTCTCTAATGAATGTCCGACGTCCGTGTTCCCAGGTCGCGGCAGGCAGAACTGTATGATGAAACGTTTCGCTCCTTGGTCGACTCGGTCCTGGCTGGTTTCAATGGCACTATCTTCGCCTATGGCCAGACAGGGACAGGCAAAACGTACACCATGGAAGGTGAGCTAGCGCCGGGAAAATGTACCATGAGAGGTTAGCTGGGTCAAGGAAAACATACTCCATGGAAAATGTACACGATGGATGCTAAGTGAAAATATGGTGCCGGTACAAACTAGATGAAAGTTTATGCCAGATGTACCGATGAAATCAGCACGATGACTAGTAACAGTAAAGTTCTGATAAGATGGTGAGTTTCGATATCGAGACGACTGTGGTTAGGTGAGGCTCGACATCGAGACGACTGCGTCTCAATCCGTTTGGCTGTCTCGTGTTCGGTCGCTCATACGCTCATCACCATCGATCCGTGCCTTAGTGAAATATAATGGCCGTGGGCGCTGAGAGGTGTGTTCCGGCGGCTTCTGGGACCACTTGGTCGGCCAGCTCACCGTCCTGTAGAGACAATCCCTTGACACCAACTTATTTATTTATCATTAAAACGGGAACTCTTAGGAACGCTTCGTCTCCCTTCGTCAGCCAAGTAAAAAAAAAAAAAAAAAAAACACTGTGCTGGGTAGCTCAGAAGGTTCAGAAGTCAATCTAACCGAGCGTTCCGCCTCTGTCTCCGTCTCTGACAGGTATACGGGATGACCCGGAACAGCGCGGGGTCATCCCCAGCTCCTTTGAACACATCTTCAGTCACATCGACCGGTCGGAGAACTGCCAGTACCTGGTGCGAGCTTCCTACCTGGAGATCTACCAGGAAGAAATACGGTCAGTGTGTGTCAGTGTGTATATCATGGTCACGTGCTATCGTCACCTGCTATCTAGTTAGAATATACGAGGAGGAAACACCTGGTATTCGAGAGGACGACGACAGTAGGCCCTCTAATCTGTCAATGATTGACAGAATACTATCCAGCAATTCGTTCACTGCCTGAGCAGTTTGTTAGATGTCTGCCGACGGCTACGTTACGCTGGTGTATGAATCCCTGTCTGCCCAGGTAAACGTTGTTAACATGACCTTTCGCTTCTCACTACCCCCTTTCTTCGTTCCGCCGCAGAGATCTGCTTTCCAAGGACCAAAACCGGCGACTGGAGCTGAAGGAGCGACCCGACACCGGCACCTACGTCAAGGACCTCTGCTCGTTTGTCTGCAAAAGCGTCCGTGAGATTGAGCATGTCATGGGGATTGGCAACAAGAACAGAAGCGTCGGGTGAGTGGCGGTTTCGGCGGTGAATGATGGAGAAAAGGGGGAGACGATGGGGCTAGAGTGAATTGAAAGGCGGGTGAAAATGGAGGGATAGCTCTGATGGTGTTTTTTGTTTTTGTTTTTGCTGTCTACATGCTCGTTGGATGGATTTATATTTTTGCTTTGATTGCTCCATATGACTGATCTTAGAAGTTACGCTTGCGTTTCAGCAGTCTTTCTTCATTAGATTGTCACTGAACCTGTCATCTTGTGTTTGCTATATATTCTATCAGTCCAGTCTCCATTTACTCCATCCCCATTGACGCTTTGCTTCTCTCCTTTCCGGCAGCGCGACCAACATGAACGAGCACAGCTCCCGCTCCCACGCCATATTCCTGGTGACGGTCGAGTGTTCTGAGCGCGACGCCGACGGAGAGACTCACATCCGAGTGGGGAAGCTGAACATGGTGGATCTGGCCGGCAGCGAGCGTCAGGCCAAGACCGGTGCCACGGTACGGGTGACGGCAGCCGGCCGGTGGCTGGTCGGGGCGGGGCGGTCATACTTTGCCAGATGGCATTCCTGGGGATATTGGGTGATGCTGTAAAATCTTGTTGCTTGTTTTGTTTATTTTAGCGAATTTCTATAGCGTAAGACGCGGATAGCGTCAGTTGTCTTGATCCAAGCGGCTTACACGTGGTCCTGCCTTTGTTTATCATGACTTACCCTTGCGGCAGGACGCTGGATTCCTCATATTTCATCTCTAACTTCCCATGTTTCATCCTCACTGACTCACTTTGTGTCTTCCCTCTCCTCAGGGAGAGCGACTGAAGGAGGCCACCAAGATCAACCTGTCGCTGTCGGCGCTGGGTAACGTCATCTCGGCCCTGGTGGACGGCAAGTCGTCCCACATCCCCTACCGGGACTCCAAGCTGACCAGGCTCCTGCAGGGTAGGTCGGCCACATCAAATGTGCGAGCTCATTGCGAACCATTCTCTTGGACTTTCCAGTAAAAGTATCAACAGACCAACAGTATCGCAGCCGGAAAGTTTTTTTCAAGATGTGGTTTTCCTGAAAAAGATCGTATGATAATCTATCAAATTTTCTTGTGTCATTTCAATCAATTGAATGGCGTTTTTGCGAGGCACATTATAATGGCTGAACTTTAGAGGCATGAAGGCGTGTCTGATTCCTTAACTATTGATTGAATGTATGTGCACTAACACCCTGTCCCATCTCCGGCTGACCAGACTCACTGGGTGGTAACGCGCGGACGATCATGGTGGCCAACATGGGCCCGGCCGCTTACAACTACGACGAGAGCGTCACCACGCTGCGCTACGCCAACCGCGCCAAGAACATCAAGAACAAGCCCAAGATCAACGAGGACCCCAAGGACGCGCTGCTCAGGGAGTTTCAGGAGGAGATCGGCAAACTCAAGGTAGGTGAACGCTCAGCTGTGGCTTACATGAGTGCCTCGTCGCTAAAGCCTCATGGGATTCGATGGCTAGAAATACTAGGCTCAGAGATCAGATCAGAGATAGGATCAGAACTGATGAGGGGGGTCCCGCCATGTCGTGATCATGGCGGGTGGATTCAGTCTGAGTTCGGTGGACCATGGGATGTGTTGCGCTCGACGGCCGGGATAATTTGTTGAGTGTGTGGACTTCTGACAAAGCATTAGCCGACTGGCGGCTGACTGATAACCAGTCTAGCCATGGAACCAGGATAGCCAGTATGTAACTTTCTCCATGGTCTCTTTTCAGCCAAACGCGGTAGTGATGTTACCATCCCCTGCTGTACAGTAGCCATCAGTCGCTGACCCAGTATCCAGCTCTAACATTTGCAACTCGCCTCCAGGCCCAGTTACAGGCGCGCTCCTCCGGGACAGGCGCCCGTAAGAAGCACCGCTCGGGCTCGGCGGCACCGGCCACCCCCGGGCCGGAGACCGGCTCAGAACAGGCGGTCTCACCGGAGGAGTACCTCCGCGAACAGCTCGAGCGGGAGAGAGCGGCCATCGTCGGTGACCAGTCCATCATCGCTGAGGTCAGTAGTCCGTCACATGATACCGACGACGCAGGGGCCTTAGGCGCAGGCTACTGAGGGCCATCTGCTGGAGATGTGTTGTTAGGACTGAAAGGTCTGTGGCTGCAAACCCTATGCTGTGTGTTCAGGGGTGTAGGTCAGTCCATCGGCAGATACTATTTGGGGCTATTTCGACCGGCTGTAGCCTGTTCGTGATGCGCTCAAAACCAGGACCTGGCTCCGTACCTTTTTCCGTTTCTCTGTTGGCAATGCATACCGTTTATGACGTCAATCCCTCGGCCCAATGCCTCTCTAGAGAGTGAAAAGAGGCTGGACGGCCGCCGGCCAGCAGTAAAACAAACACTCAGGAATAGGATGATTTATCGTCCCCGTGGCCATGAATAGCCCCGGGTGGCATCACACAGCCCGGGTAGCCAGGGTCGTGTGGGGGGGGGGGGGAGGAGGGGTCCAGGGTAGTGGGAGGCCAACGTCCGGGCTACATATTACTGGAGAGAGACGGTTGATGCCTTTAGAGTGACTCATGGTAAACATACCTGACTTTCAAGCCGATTTGGTGCAAGATGCTGAAAGAGATTTCACGATGAAAATGCACCTAAATACAGGGTGATTTTTTTTTACTTGTTAAAAAGTAATGAGGTCTAGTGGCATTAAAATATCAATATATATTGCAAAATTATATACCAGGATGACAAGCATTCTGGGACATTTTGATTTCATGCAGGCACGATGTGAAGGAACGTCCATCGTGTATTTTACTTGTGCTTGAAGTTGCCCCCTCTCTCACCGACACGAATCAGCCCGCCTGAGCACGTGTTGAACAGCACCGTGGACTCCTAGACCCTTTAGGCGGACTGAAAAGGCTCCTATCACCCATTTTTAGCTCTGCCAGATATTTCCAATGTTTTCTTGTTATATCTGCCATAGCTGGGTCCAAAAACTAGAAGTTTATGAAGGGCAGGTCGAGGATTTCGATACTGGCGGCCCTGGTGGTGTCTGATTCGCTGTTTTTCTTTCTCCCTGAAGACTGATTCTTCAGAGGCTGCTGGACCGTTTGAAGGTTATTTATGACTACAAGCTTGTTCGTGCATTATTTAACGTCTTTCTGGGATATTTCCTCGATGATCGCATGCTTCGAACTGCCTCAATGCTTCAAAATCATCGTTTTGTGTCGTTCCTTACTGAACGGCGGTGGACCATGCGGCCCGATTGGTGGGACATTTTCAGGCACCATTGGGGCCGAGGCCTTCGGTTAAAAGGGACAAATCATGACACCATACAAAATGTCCCAGATTTATCTATCACGTGCATTGCTTTTTTGCACGCGATTTTTCAATTTAGGGACCACCATTAACATTTACTTTTTAACAGTTAAAAAAAATCACCCTGTAGTTAACGTTAGTAACCACTAACCTATACATTGATCTAATTTGGTTAGTTTAGGAAACAATCGTCTTTAGCTCTCCACTTCTCCAGCTTCTATTCAGACGTGCTATCACGTCCGCATAGAAGTTTTTAGAAACTAGCTGTCGCCTTTCCTGACATGGATCGCCTAATCATTCACTGAGTTCACTCGGTTCTCCTGTTTCCAGGACAAGGAGCGCCTGCTGCGGGAGATGCGGGAGAAGGAGCAGCAGCTGGAGCAGGAGCGGCTGGCGCGCGAGCAGCTCGCCTCGCGCATCCAGGACATGGAGTCCAAACTGCTGTCCGGTGGTAAGAACATCGCCGACCGCACCAACAAGCAGCAGCGGCAGCTGGAGCTCAGCCGGCAGAAAATCATCGAACAAAAGGTACCGCACCGCTGACCCTTCTGAGCACTTTTTCATCGTACGTATGTGGAATGTGGATATCATTAGAGTTATGCATTTCGCTGGTGCGTGTGATTGCATGGAGGCGATGACGAGCCTCCGACTGGTCTGATGTGACACGACTGTCTCTGACCCTAGGCCAAGGAACGTGAGATGCTACAGCAGATCGAGGAGCAGGAGGGCACCCGACTGGACCTGCAGCAGACCTACCAGTCGCTCCAGCAGGAGGTGGACGTCAAGACCAAGAAGCTGAAGAAGCTCTTTAACAAGCTGCAGGCGGTGAAGCGAGACATTTCGGACGCCACCGAGGAGTTTCACCGGGAGCGACGAGAGCTGGAGGAGACCGGTGACGCCTTGCGAAAGTAAGACTTATTCGACAGCCTGGTACCCCCTGTAAATCAGCATTACTTATCGATGTTTGAGCCGTTCATATGTTGCAGGGAAAAATAGGCGCGGAATTTTCATATTTACCCACTGGCTGTCTATATTCTTGGACGGCCCTATAAATGAAATGATCTCGCCATTTTGAAATGAGACGTGTTAGTTTACGAATATCACCAAGTAATCTGTATTGTACGGTGGATTGGTGTTAACTGTTACGTTTCACCGATCTCCGTAGGCCCTGACCGTACATATTACCGTAGCTGCGTTTATGATACGGGCCCCACCATACGGCTGCGTCTGCGCATGCGGGAGCCGGGAGGGTAGGCTGACCCGCATATTGCCTGAGGCTCAATGTGGACGAGCGTGTCGTGTGGACTGGTCTGTGGCAGTGACTGACTGGCGAGCGACCAATACAGGTTGACCTCTGAGCACGAGTGGTCTCTACACTGGCGACGAGGATTTGAACCGGCGCGGCGGGGCGACTTCTACGGCCATGGATGGGGCAGCGTCGGCCACCCTGCAGCTGGAGCCCTTCAACCCGGCGACGGACTCCTGGAGCCAGTGGGAGGAGCGTCTGCACTACTTCATCGAATGTAACGGCATTCAAGGCGAGAGCAGGAAACGCGCCACGCTGTTGACGGTATGTGGGAAAGAGGCCTTTTCGCTTATTTGTAGCTTGATAGCACCGTCTAAGACGTCCGAGAAGTCGTTTGATGAGCTTTTGCAAGTAATAAGGGAGCACAAAGAACCCAAACCATCTGTCATTGTGTCGCGATTCAAGTTCAACTCGTGTCAACGAACGGCAGGCCAATCCGTTGCTGATTTTGTTTCTGTGCTAAGGAAGGCTACCGAGCACTGCTGTTTTGGAGCCACGCTTGATGACAGACTCACTGAGCAGTTTGTTTGCGGCATCAGGGATCCTCGGATGCAGCGGCGGTTGCTGTCAGAATCCAGCCTGGACTTCAGCTCAGCACAGAGGATCTGCCTGGCGATAGAGGCTTCCAGCAGAGACGCTCACCTGATCTCCGGCACACCGGGTACAGTGCCGGCAGAGGTATGTGAGGTAAGGGCGCAAGGCTTGCCGTCAGGTCAGTCAGCTCGTCCAGGGGCTCGCTGTTGGCGTTGTGGCGGGAGGAGCCACTCACCTGATGTGTGTCGTTTTGCGTCGTACAAGTGTCACAACTGTTCGAAAGCTGGACATTTGGCTAAAATGTGCACAGTCAGAAAGACGACAGTCAGACCTCGGAGGCAGCAGGGCAGAGCAAACGCCGTTGAAGCAGATGAAGAATGGGAGGCGGACTACACGACAGATGTTGGCCGTGCAGAACAGGATGAAGAGATCTGCAGAACGGAAGCGGTCCATCGGGTGAGTGTACCTCCCATTTCTTGTCTGGTTCAGTTTCAAGGTACAGATGTAGATATGGAGATTGACACTGGTTCTAGCGTATCGTTGATTGGGCAGGATACGTTTGAACAGTTGAACAGAAAGCCTAAACTCAAAATGTGCTCATCTCGTTTGAAAACGTATACGGGTCAGTTCATACCATTGTTGGGAGAGTTTCAAACAGACGTGTGGTATGAAGGCAAACAGCACCGTGCCCTGACAGTTGTGGTGGTAAAAGATGCCAGGACTAACCTTCTAGGACGAGACTGGCTGGAGCACATCAACCTCAACTGGCGGGCCGTGCACGCCATTCGAACCAGTTCCTTGCAGGGCCTGAAGGAGAAGTATCGGCGCCTCTTTGAGCCTGGCCTGGGAGAGCTGAAGGGGGTAAAGGTACGTCTGGACATTGACCGTACTGTACCACCGAGGTTCTGCAAGGCCCGCTCTCTGCCCTATGTTTTCAAGGAGAAGGTGGAGGCCCAGCTCCAGAAGGACATCGACAGCGGCGTCCTGGAGGAAGTGCAGAACAGCAGCTGGGCGGCGCCCATTGTTCCGGTGCTGAAGAAAGACGGGAATGTCCGAGTCTGCGGCAACTTTAAGTTGACGGCCAACCGAGCGGTGAGGTTGGACAGATATCCATTGCCACAGGTCCCGGATCTGTTTGCAACGCTAGCGGGAGGTACCGTATTCTCGAAAATTGATCTGGCTTCGGCCTACAATCAGTTAGTTCTTCACGAGGACTCTCGAGACATCATGACCATCAACACCTCACGAGGTCTTCTCAGATTTTCGAGGCTCCCGTTCGGCATCAACAGTTCTGTGGGTATATTTCAGAGAGAGATTGAAAAGGTTCTCCAGGGCATACCCAACGTCATTGTTTTCCTGGATGACGTTCTGGTGAGTGGAAAGACACAGGCCGAACACCTGACCACGCTGGAGAAGGTGTTTTCTAGGCTTGAAGACGCGGGTCTAAAAGCCAGAGCAGATAAGTGTAAGTTTTTGGTTCAGCAGGTTGAGTACCTGGGTCACGTGGTCAACAGGCATGGAATTTCCCCGACTTCTGAGAAAACTGAAGCGATCAGGTCAGTGCCTGAACCTAGGAACGTGTCTGAGCTGAAGAGCTTTCTTGGGTTGTTGACTTACTACTCCAGGTACTTACCAGCGCGCGCTCAGAGGCTGGCTGCGCTGTACGACCTTCTCAAGAAGGACAAGGACTGGATATGGGGACCAGAACAGCGGAAAAGCTTCCACTGGGCCCAGAGTGTCCTTACCTCGGACTCTGTTCTAGCTCACTTCGATGCGGCGAAGGAGCAAGTGCTGGTCTGTGACGCATCGTCTCGAGGCATTGGAGCGGTACTGGCTCAGCGTGAAGCGGATGGAGCTGAGCGTCCTGTCGTGTACGTGTCAAGGAGTCTGACCTCTTCAGAGCAGAAGTATTCTCAGTTGGAGAGGGAAGCTCTCGCGATCGTTTTCGCGGTAGAAAAGTTCAATCAATACTTGCTGGGTAATAAGTTCATACTGGTCACGGATCACAAGCCGCTGGTAGTTTTGTTTGGAGAAAACAAAGACATTCCGGCTATGGCGTCTGCTCGCATTCGTAGGTGGGCATTGAAGTTGTCTGCGTACCAGTATGCCATCCAGTTTAGGCGCACGGAAGACATGGGTAACGCGGACGCCCTCAGCAGGCTTCCCCTGCCAGTTGCAGATGGCTCTGGCCAGGAAGATCTGGTGCTGCTGATTGAGGATGCTGTATTTGATGCTAAGCAAGTAGCACGTTTGACAGCTCGTGACCCCGTTCTTTCCAGAGTGATGAACCTGGTGCAGAAGGGCGGGTGGCCCGAGATAGCTGACCCGGCATTGAAACCGTTTTCAGAGAAACGCTGGGAGCTGTCTGTGTGTGCAGGCGGGCTGCTGTGGGGGCACAGGGTCGTGATACCACAGAAGGGCCGCCAGTCTGTGATTTCAGAGCTGCATTCTGCCCATCCAGGGATCGGCCGGATGAAATCACTGGCCAGGAGCTGCGTCTGGTGGCCCCAGATTGACGGTGACCTGGAAATGGCGGTCAGACGATGTTCTACGTGTCAGGAGAGTCGTCCGACCCCTCATCGGGCTGACCTGAGTATGTGGCCCTGGCCGAGACGCCCATGGTCAAGGGTTCATGTGGATTTTGCGGAACCAATCAAAGGCAAGTACATTTTTGTGGTAGTGGACGCCTATTCAAAGTGGGTTGAGGCTGAGCCGTGCTCAAGTGTGAGTTCGCAAGCAGCCATGGTCAAATTGCGACGTATGTTTGCAAGATGGGGCTTGCCTGACATGCTCTGCTCTGATAATGCTACGACGTTTACCTCACAGGATTTTCAGCAGTTCCTGGCGGCTAATGGGGTTCAACATAGAACGATAGAGCCACGTCACAGTCAAGGCAACGGGCTAGCAGAGCGGGCAGTTCGTGACGTTAAGCAGGCTCTTAAGCGCAGTGGAGATGGGAACTGGGAGACTGTGTTGGCTGAGTGGTTGCTGTATCAGAGGAAAATCCCTCACTCAACTACGTCTGTGTCACCCTCAGAGCTGATGCTGGGACGAGTGATCCGGAGCCGGCTAGACCTTCTTCATCCTGACCTGCAGAGCCGTGTTCAGCGGAAGCAGCTGCAGCAGAAGCTGAATCATGACCCTGCTGTACCCCGAGTGTTACAGCTGAACATCGGGGATGCGATATATGCTCGCAATTATGGTGTGGGACCCACGTGGATATCAGGTGTAGTTGTGGGTATAGATGGATCGCAGTCATATGTGGTCAAATTAGAGGATGGTAGGATCTGGCGTCGTCATCAGGATCAGTTGATGCGGAAAACTGACGCAAACTATCCCGTCACAGGACCTGCTGCTGATGTAGCTGCTCACGAGCAGCTCAGCCCGTCGGAGCAGCTGACGGCCGCGCCGGCTGCCGAGGCCGTCTGCACTGGTCTGCCCACCGTACCGGAGACCGGTGGCCCTGACACCGGTGGCTCGCTGACGGCTGCGGCGACGCAGCCGACGGGAGGGTCCTCGACGGGGCCCGGCACGAAGGATCTGCCCGCGATGCCTCTGCCATCTGAGCCAGCTCTTCCGAAGTCTGTGCCTGCATCGGCTACGGAGATGGCTCCGCGAAGATCATCTCGCGTGCGGAAACAAACTGAGTTTTTCCAGGCGTAACGTGTGTTTTCGTTATCTAAACTTATTTGTTAAAGGGAGGAGAGTGTATTGTACGGTGGATTGGTGTTAACTGTTACGTTTCACCGATCTCCGTAGGCCCTGACCGTACATATTACCGTAGCTGCGTTTATGATACGGGCCCCACCATACGGCTGCGTCTGCGCATGCGGGAGCCGGGAGGGTAGGCTGACCCGCATATTGCCTGAGGCTCAATGTGGACGAGCGTGTCGTGTGGACTGGTCTGTGGCAGTGACTGACTGGCGAGCGACCAATACAGGTTGACCTCTGAGCACGAGTGGTCTCTACATAATCGGAGATCTGTCATGCTCAAATATGTGCTCTGTCCTTGCCCTTCAGAGAGCTGAAGCTGAAGACTGTCATCATCGACAACTTCGTGCCGCCGGCGCAGCTGAAGGCGCTGCTGGCGCGCGTCCGGTTCGCTGAGGACGGTGAGGAGGGCGGCGACGGCTGGCTGCTGGCGGCTCCGGCCGTCCAGCTGCTCGACGGACGCCCTGTCAGCGCCACCGGCGGACGGAGACCGGTGTCGGAGTACGCCCGGCGGGCTGGCGCGGCCGGCGGAGGCACCAGGTTCAAGGTGAGGAACCAGTGACTGGATGGTGCGAGGACCGTCTGGTATTGGTAGACTGGTGGCATTTATGTGAAGGGAGGGGTTGGCGATCCGCAGACGTGGAATTTATGGGTAACTGGCTTTCATGTGCTTTCTATTTCTTCTTTCAGCCGAATATTTGAGTTATCATCCTATTGCCTTACTTGCCGATGATTCCATCCTGCTCCGTGTCCCCGTTGGCTGATGTTCCGTCTCCCCACCCACAGGGCGAGAACATCATGTGTCTGGAGTTAGACTCGGCGGCTCGCACCACTCGCGACTACCGCGGACCCTCTGTGGCGCCGCGTATGGCGGCCGCTCTCCAGAAGGCGCTCACCCCCACAGAGAGTGTTATTAGCGTGGACGCCTCGGCGCCGCTGCGACCCGACGGCTTCCTGCTCCGGGCGTCCCGGAAACCGGCGGCCACGTGAGTCCGGGCGGGGTGTCCGGGGAGGGCCCGGTGGAGTCCGGGAATCCAGAGTTAGTGGGTAGGCCCCTGGGCATGCTGGCGTGTGTCGTGCTCAGTCCTCACTTCCTTGTGGCGATTACTACTTCCCTTTGCTCGGCATTATTTCCCTTACTGACTGGCAGCCGGCAGGGCTATTCCACGCTGCTCGCAGTCCCTGCCACTCTGCTAAATGTGATCTTCTGGTCGCTGTGCCTGCCTATCGTGATTGACACGACTCCTCCCCGCTCACCGCCAGGTCTCACTCGTCTCGGAAGCGGCCCCCCGGCCGGTCGCCGGACTCGGCACATCTCTACCCTCAGTCGCGCGGACTGGTGCCCAAGTAGGGGGCGCCACCGCCGACAGCAGTGGCGGCGGCGGCGCCGGCCGGGTGCGGGTGCTCCCCGGCGCCCCGGCCGGCGGACCGCTGCTCTGCTGCTGTGGGTCTCTCAGACGCAGGAGTCGGGTGCGGCTGTGTGCAGCCCGCCTCGGCGGCAGACTGGCGCGGCGCCGTGAGCAGCGCCGGCCGCTGCCGCTCGGGCAGGCCGGCACCGCCGAGCGACCGGACTGTGACGACGACAAGCTGCGGGGCCGGCAGTCGGCGCGGCGCTCACCGACCGACGGCGCGGCGAACCTCACAGACGAGCAGAAACAGCGGCGCCTGAAGCAGCGGCAGGCGGAGCCCGAGGAGGGCGCCCAGCAGTGCGTCCTGTACCGGCGGCAGTCCAGCGAGCAGTGGGACCAGCTGACGGGGCGGCTGCGCCGGCTGGTCAGGGGCGAGCTGGCGCGGCTCACCCACCGTCCCCGTCTGGGCGACCTGGGCGGCGGCACCGCCACCCCGCCTCTCCCGCCGGTCGGTGCTGGGGCGGTGGTGGCACGGCCGGCAGTGCGGGGCGCCGCCCGGCGGCTGCTGCGGGGACCGCGGAGCCGGCTGACGGCGGCGACCGCTGGGCTGCGCCGCTGCGGGGTCTGCGCCGGTCTGCGGCCGCGCGGGCTGCCCGCGACCGGCCGGCGCCCGCTCAGTCCCTCCCGGCTGCGGGTTGTGTACCAGGCAGCCGCGCTGCTGGGCGCCGCCCTGCTGCTGCTGCGACTGCTGGTGCTGCTGCTCTGCGCCTGCTGCGCCCTGCTGCTGGTCGGAAGCTAGGTCAGGTGAGCCCAGTCCGCCCACAGGTAACACTCAGAAATTCTACCGGAACAAACTGGATTAAACTGGAAATTGTCAGCTCTAACATTGTGGTGGTTTTTCACAGTTCTCACAGTTTTTGCCGCACCTCACTGGTCACCGTTCTGGTTTGTGTTGCCCACGAGAGCGGCTGCGCGTCGGGCCGTCAGTTTGTCTGTCTGTCTGCGCGGCTCCGTCCGACTCTGTCGTCTGATAGAACCCTGAGGGGACATGTGCTGTGTCCGGCGGGTTTTGCCCCGCCCCCACCCTCCCTCTTGGGGAGATATGTAGTTCCACTCTACAAGAAGCTGGGGTTGCCAGGTGCTACTTTAGCCCCAAGTCTTTGTATTGGGGCTGTAACTTTACATTGTGCAATGGTTGTGTGGCGTGATCGTTATGTCAGTCCTCAGACACCTGCCTAGGGTGATCTTATAGCCGTTGTATGCGACACTGATTGGATTCCTCGTCTCTAGAGGAAAGAGGTTGGAACACTGTATATTTAAAAGGACGCTTATAACTTATTGCGGGTGCTCGAGGTAGTTTCTGCAAGAAAGCAGTCACCCTTTCTAGTGTCTAGTCAGTTTTGATCTGATTTTAGCGTATTTTTATTGGTGTTCTTTTCCCGAAACGTGAGATTACAAAAGACACGTAGTATAGTAACGTTATCTGAGAGATAATTGATATTAAATAATTTATTTACATTTATGTGTCATTTTTGTCGATTGAATCCCTTAGCCGAAGTGATATAAGTATTGAGATTCCGTCCGGAGCCTTGTGGAGCTGCCGGTATATTTTTGACGGCACGCCTGGGGTCAGTGTGCCGGTATTATTCTCAGACAGACAGTCGAACGCTGCTACATTAGCGTGTCACATTGCTACTGTAGTAGCAGGACTGCTACTATATCTATCCATTTGGCACTGACATGTAGCCGCCGTAGCTACACATGTGACAATGATACGAGCAGGTAGCGCCCTTTTATTGCAAAGTTGGCAATATAAATGGCATTTCGCTCCTAGAACCCACCTGTCTTTATTCCTGGCGGTAAAGTTGCAATGAAAATTGTGCTCCTTTTTCCAAAATTACAGGAAAGGCCCCTCTGAATGCTCTTGCGTATCAATGCGTCAATACTTATTTCAATCTACGCATCAAGATTTACGTGTTTTTCTATGAAGCGGGTAGTGGCATGATATTTATGACATGACTTACTCCTCAGGGGTGTATGTTTGTTTTATTTATCACGTCACCAAATAGTTTGGTGGTCGTTCCGGTTTGCTTGAAATGATGTTTCTTTCACCGTATATTTACGTGATAAGATAATATTTATGTCGTACGTTATACCTACTAGGGTACTTTGTTCCGTATGACCACTTTGTAAACAGTTTTACTCGCCCCTCCTGCGATTTCTTTCAACTGCCACCATATCTCAAGTACTATTTTACCGATAAGTTATCTTGCGGAATGAAGCTGTATCTTTTAATAGTCGATAGACACACGGTGCCCCGCTCTTTCTCTGATTGGTGTTGTCTCATAATTAAAGGTATTGTGTTTCTGCCACGACCAGATAACTATTTGCTGTCGGTTGTTATGTGCTGTGTTGTTGGCCCTGTGACAAACGTTATCGACTTCAAAATACACCTTCTGATGAAGCTATTTCAGCCCTTTGCCTGATCGGTCCCCACTCCGATCATGCGAACACCGCAGAAGCGCTTGTGATCGTTGACGAGTGTGGCGCCACCTGCTCCACCCAAACTTGCACTCGCTGCCAATAGGGGGCACGAGCATCGCGTCTGCTGGCTTATGTCTACTGTTAACGCCAGACCCCTTGAGACCCTAATTTTTCGCGATTACTTTTAAATGCGTGAAGGAATTTCAACCAAGCTCAGGACATGGCCGTTTCAAGACAGGCCGAAACTTTTACAATTTAGATATTTTATCGCCATTTCAATATTTCAGGCACTTGTCATTGACTCGTAATGTTAACTGTTTTTCCATCCTGGATAGAGGCTTTCTACGTCATATGACATTAGGCTCCGCCCACGACTGCGGCATTGACCCGTGCCCATCGGCGACCTCTGTACAAACGACACCCCTGCCATCTGTGAAGGACTATGAATTTCGCTGACGCTTCACGTGCTATGAGTCAATTGCAGCAGACGGTCAAGTACCTAAATGTTAGGCTCTTGTTGACTCTTGTATATAGGACCAAGAGGACCATCACTCCTCAACCTACTACTCAGTCGTGCTTCGAACAAACGTTAACGATTCCTAACAAATACGATTTTCGATGTAGGGTATCTGTTTGAAATACGAGCGAGCCGTATGATGTGAAGCTCAGGCAATTAACTTATTATTGCGTTGTTCGATGGTTGCATAGCGATGTACAAATCGGCAGCTACTTGGTGACATCCGACTTCCCATTATCGCATTATCTGCAACGCCATAGGCTTTAAATACAGGTGAATATTTCCTAACCTTATGTCAGTTATATGCCATCTGCCCGTCACATGCAGCTTATATAAAAAAAAAATATATCAGCGAACATAGCATTGTAGAAGCAATGCGCATTGAGCATTTATGACTCCTTAGTCATCATGTCGCTCTCTGGGCACTGTCAGCCAAGACGCTACGCACAACTCCGCCGGCTTTCGGCACCGCTCGACCGTCGCCCGTCCCCGCTCCCCGCCACAGCGAGAGTGACCGCGCGCCGGCCCGAAACCGCCGCAGGCCAAGACCACAGAGGCGGGGCTTAGCTGTGACGTCATAACGTATCACAGACTGACTGGTGATAGCCTCTACACACCGGATGAAAATCTTGCTCGAAATTTAACATTACGAGTCAATGACAAGTGCCTGAAATATTGAAATGGCGATAAAATATCTAAATTGTAAAAGTTTCGGCCTGTCTTGAAACGGCCATGTCCTGAGCTTGGTTGAAATTCCTTCACGCATTTAAAAGTAATCGCGAAAAATTAGGGTCTCAAGGGGTCTGGCGTTAACAGTAAGTGAATTTCGAACTTCTTTTTGGAGAACACCCGATAAAATAAAGCTTTTTGCTACCATCTTCAATGTGTTGTTAACTTGAAAGTATTTGCCCTATTTGCTTTTTCGTATTGCCCGTGTCCGTTATAAGAGCTATTGCCTCCCTATCAACTGTAATGGTTAGTTTTGGCCACGGTCCTTTTTACGTGCTTTTTACAATAATCTCAACACTCAAATCACACCATCTGTGAGTTACTTCACTGGGTTCTAAGGTAGCTATTACTCTCGTGTTTGCAATGTATGGTGCGCATTTGCCGGAATTCTCTGAGCCCCCTTGCTTGTAGACTGAAACCCTCATCAATCTTAGCCAGTCGGTGAAGAGAAGTTCACGGGACAGGGCGGTAGAGGCTGATGTGGCAGCTGACAGTCACCACACAGACCGCTGCTCGGCGTCTTAGAGCGCTGGAACGGGAGATAAATTGTCAGTAGCAAGATAAACGCTCTACAGACCAGATCAGGAGACACGGGAGCTAAATTTTGGTGTTACATCCCGTCCTGTCTATCAGGAAGACAGCAAGCCGCAACAGGGGCACCCTTGTCTATATTATAATTCACTTAACGATGAACTAATTATGCTTCTATATACATGCTCCGTGTCTCAAGGTGTGCAAAATCGGCTACCTTATAATGCCAAAAGTTTGATGTGGCTCATCAAAATTTCAATGTCACGTTCAACTTTATAAGTTTCATTTCAAGACGTTTGAAAACTGGCATTCGAGTGGGACCTCCGTACGATGGAGTCGTTTCACACACACACGGAACTTCTAAAAACAATAATAAACGCCGGAACCGGTCGGTCGGCGGCTACTACTCGGCTGAACCCGTTTAAATCCGCCGTGGCCGCCGCAAAAACTGCTCTCGCCGCTCCGCCGTGTGTACGGCGTCTCCCTCTCCGCGGCTGTGGGGCGGGGCAGGGCGCGCACGTGGGCTGCGGGGTGAGCGGTGACCGCCCACCGGGTAACCGATACGGTTGGACAATGGACATCGTCTCAGTCCGCCTGCGCTGCCGGCAGTGTGATCCTGCAGTTACCATGCGGCTACCTCGTGCTCACGGGTTATATCCGAGTCGCCGCCCACGGCTGATATGGTCAGTTTGCATCCACGGGACTCATCAGGCTCCTTTGCAGCCGCAGTCAAATACGGTG